TGGTCTCGTGAGGAGCGTGATGGGAATCGGTCCCCTCTGCAGTCACATCTGGGTTAGTCTATTTACACTCAGCATTCTATCTGATCCCACAAACACTCAGCCGTTTCTGCTTGGATAAGGAGATTTTCTAGTTACATCCATTATATGTGTATCAACATTTATGGCAGCAAGATAATTGCCAAAGAGCTCAGAGGATAAAAGGTCCTTCTTCATAGTGCCCCCCCACCCATTCGTTTAAAAAAATCAATATGAACATCAAGGAGGACAGTGGCAGAGTCCTGCCTGGCTGCCGTGTCCTCAAAGTTGGAAATGGGATTTTTAAAAAACCACCCACTGGACTCGAAGAAAAGAAAAGGTTCGATAGCGACTTCAGAGCTCATACTCAAGGGGGCACAAATGCAGGCGGAAGGCCTTTTGGGTCCTTGAAACCTTTGCAAAATAAATAACTGCAAAGCAGCAAATCTCTCTAGTAGAGGCATCCTCTGGCAATCCGCCAATCGAATTTCAGAGTGTTTTGGACTTGCTCTATAAACCCACCGATGCTTAGAAGACCTATTTTCAACAGGCCCCGAGGTCACTGGACTGGGGTGCTTCACAGGAGGGGCACCCTCTGGGTGGTCCTCCAGCCTCTACTACCCAAGCAATGGCGTGGGGGAGGAGCAAGGAGGGAGGGTACACTCCCCACGCCTCACTCTGCTAATCAGTGGGGAGTGTTTTCTAGAACACTGCTTTCCCAGTTTCTCAGCTAATTATTTCTCCAATGCACCACTGCAGACAAAAAAAAAAAATAAGAACAACAGATTTTTTTTTGCAACAAAAGTTTGCTCTGCAAGAAAGTCCCTTTAAGAAGAAAGCGAGTAGTTAAACTATTCTCAGAGGACTGACCACTCCCTACAATTTCCATTGCCTACACTGCAGTTGAATTTCTTAGAGATGATCTACTGACAGGTGCATTTGAAACTTCTGGATGATTAACTTAATAGAGAGAAAATGAGAGTAAACACATCAGCCACACTTAGAAAAAAAAAACCCAGTCCTGAGCAAACCCCTGGACCAGAGGAAATCTCCCTGGAGATGCAGTGAAAATGAAGCCCCCCCCCCCACCACACACACACCCCAAAGCAACAGGCTACTTCCTGGTTGAGTTTAAAATTTCAATGACGTTCCTCTTGCAACCCACACATCTGTGTCACTGTCAGCGTCAGTGGCAGGAAAACAGACGAAATCACCCTTTGGTAATGATTTCCTAACATGGAATTTCCTTGTATCTCCTCGAGCCTTCTTCCAACGCCAAACTGTCCCCCCCCCACTCCAAACACAATGTACTGGAGGAAAACTGCAAATGGTCCCAGAGAGAAGAGGATGGATTTTGAGGCGATCTTAAAAGGAAGAGCAGTAGCTCTTTGTGATATTTTACAGGGGTGTGTATGGGGGGGTGTGGGAGGTGGGGGAAAGGATGGCTAGTTTTTCAAGTCAATAGAAACAAAACAAGAGATTTCCTTCCAAGCACTGGGAATTTCTCAGTCCCTCTCTTTCTTTCCCTTTTCCTGTCTCCTCCTTCCCAAGTTCCACTTGGAGCACATTCTGACCTCCGAGTTGACGGAAAGCCACTCACACACTGGACCCAGGCGCGCAGAGGTGCCAAAGGCAGCCTGGAGAATCACCAAAACACAAAGCAATAGGGGAGCGCATCACTTTGTCCTCTGGAGAACATCCTGTTTAATATGCAAAGCGGTCATCAGGAGAAAAGAGGGCTGTTACTTTAAGGGGAAGAAGCTGATTAGCTGCTCCGGCTGGCAGCAAACAGCTGGTCTGTCCGGCAGGTTCAAGGCCATTTCAGCTTCTCTCTTATGGAGGCACCATATGTTCCATCTCGCACATCAGCAGCTTTATTTTCCAATGATCTTGCTCCAGAAGGGAAGCACAAAAGGGGGGAGGAGAAGGTAGAGCCCGTGGTTTACCCTTTGAGTACTTTTTTGTGGTTTTAGATGCACTTGGGATGCGTGTGGGGCGGGGCGGGGGGGGGGGGGTGAGCGGTAGTTAACGCTTCGCCTTCTATTTTCCGAAGACCAGAGAGCTAACGTTCGACCCGCACTTACGAGTGACCCCGAGAGATGAGAGGGGGATGGAGCAGGGTGAAGATATTCCAAAAGACACAAATAAAATGTCGCCAAGGGAGTGGATGAGAAGAGGGGGCGGAGGCGGCCGGGGCCGGGGAGGAATCTGCGCTCCCGACCGCCCGGCTTGGGCCGAGTTTGGGACCCGCCCACTTCTCCTTATTTGTCAATTTTTTTTCCCTGCCAAAGTAGCCCCTTTCCCAACAAACTTTACCGGCCGGAAAGCGGCCCCCGGGGGGTGGGGCAGGGGGGCCCGATCGACAGGTGACTTGCACCGCACCGCCGGCGTTTGGCTTTCCTCGGGGCGAGCCCGGGTTCTCCCGGTTGGGCTGGGGACCGCGCAGGTGTCCGGCAAGGGGCCGGCGACAGCCCCCCTGTCCCGTCAACTCCCACCCGCGGCCCCGGGCGTCGAAAGTGCCGGGCGCGCGATCGCGTCCGAGAGGCGGGTCCGTGCTCTGCTCCGAGGTGCTCTCGTGGTCCCCGCGGGGCTGCACCCAGGTGCCTCGGAACAAAGGGGCCCCCGGCGCTTTCGAGGCCGTGTGCGTGTGAGCTTGTGTGCGTGTGCGCGCGCGCGCGCGTGTGTGTGTGCGCGTGTGTGTGCATGTTTGCAGGGGTGCGGTGGAAGGGCACGGAGCCGCCTTCTGCGTCTGGAGGGGGGCAGCGGGAGGGGGGCCGGTGGGCGCGGGAAGGACGGAGGCGCTAGCCACCGCGGTGGCCGAGAGAGGCGGGGGTCGCCGCCCGGCGACCTCAGCCCCGCCGCGGGGCGCAACGGCCGCCGTGAGAGCCGTGGCGAGGGGGGACACGGGCTGCAAAGCGAAACCGAGGAAAGGGCGCCCCCTAGGCCCGCGCCCCGCGAGCGCAGCCGCGCCCGGCCGCTGCCCACCCCGCGCGCGGGAGCCCGCTCGGCCTCCGCGCCCGCCCAGCTGCTGGCTGTCCCGGGTGCCCATCTCCCGCAGGCGGGGCGGCCGGCCGGGGGCGCCCGGGGGTCCCCGCTCCTTCCAGGGCTCCCGCCGAGCCTTCCAAGCGGTCCCCCCTCCCCCACCGCCTCCACTTGCCCTCCTGTCCCGAGCGGCTGAGCGGCTCGAAGCCCCTGGAAGGCAGCCGCCCCCGCCCCCTGCCTCTGGTCCCGTTCCCCTTCCCTCTCTCCAGCCTCCAGGGAAACAAAGGGGCTTTTTATAAAGCGGATTGTTGGCGGCGGCGGCGGGGGTGGGAAGGAGGGGGGGATCTCGAAAGACAAGAGGTGGGGTGAAGGAAGAAGCGGCGCGGCCTCCCGGAGCCCCGCGCGGCGGCGGCGGCAGCGAAGCCCCCCGCGGACGTGGGTCCGCCCCGCCCGGCCCACGGGTACGCGGGCGGCGATCGGCGCCGGCTCCCGGGTGGGGCCGTGTCGCGGCGATGTCGCCCCCCCTCCAAGTCGCCGCCGCCGCCGCTGGGGAACACGGTTCCCCCTGGGTCGGGGCCGGCGCGATTCCCTCCCGTGGGGGGCTGCCTCCCCCGGGAGACCCGGGCCCTCTTCCCAGCCAACTCTTTGCAAATTGCAGGGGCCCGAGGTGGGGGGGAGACTTTGCGTCTTTGTTCCGTGGCCGCCTCTGGTTCCCCGGGCCCGAGACAATGTCCGGGAGGCAGCCTCGGTTGGCTACCCGCACACGGCACAGCATGACCGCCTTGGGACGGCGCCCCAGAGGGGATGCCTCCTGCGGCCGAACAACAAGGGCCGGCCTCTCCCAGCAAGTGGACCGCCTGCTCCCCGAGTCCCGCGGCCAGCCCGTACTCCCCCGGCCCGCCGGCACACATGCACACCCCCACCCGGGTGCCCCCGCTCGGCCGCACCCAGCTGCAGGCGCGTGGCGGGGCGCTGCTCCCGGCCCGAGGTGCGGCTGTTTGCTCGCGTTCGGGCGACTTGAGGCCAGTTGGCTGGCAGGCTAACCCTATTGGTGCCTGCTCGCTCCGCGTTTCAGCACGGCTCGAACACCCGGCCGGGGTGGCCAGCTCACGGCGAGCGCGGCTTCGGGTCGGACACATCGCATCCAGGACGGGGCCGGGCGGCCCGGCCAACTGGCCGCGAAAAGTATTTGGCGGCGCTCCGGGGGGCTTCCCGCCCGCCCCGGCCGGCGCCGGGCTCTGCCGCCGCCCCGGGCCTGGGAGCAGGGAGCGCGGGGGGTGCGAGAGCTCCGGCCAGCCGGGAGCCCAGCCGGGCCGGCCTCGAGCCGCCAGCTCTGCCCAGGGCCGCTCTCCAGAGGATTTTGGCAGGGGAGGGAGCGCAAGGCGGCGGGTTCGGCGCGCGCACACTCCACACTCCGGCACGGCGGCTGCAAACCCAGTCGGGGTGTAGGGGTGTGAGTTTGGGGGTGGGGGAGCGCGGGATCCTGCTCCCAGCGCCCACAGCCGACCGGTCCGAGCGCCGGGAGCCCGCAGGCGAAGGCAGCGTCGCCGGTGGCATCCGGGCTGCAAGCGGGCAAGGGGGCGGGGGAGGGGGGGGACGTCGGAACGAAGTGAGAAGCTCCTGGGAGCCTGCAGGGCTCGCGCCCCTCTGCCATCCCTCTCCTTCTCCCTGGCAGCCGCCGCCGGATCCCAGACGCCCTGGGGACGCCGGGGCGCAGGCAGAGGCCGCAGTCCCAGGCGACGCTGGCTAGCGCTCAGCCGGGCCGGGCCGGTCCGAGAGAGGGAGAGAGCAAGAGAGAGAGAGAAGGGGGGGGGGGGCGGCCGCGCGCCGCGCCAGGTGGGCCAGGCGCCGGGAGCAAACTTTGGGGTCCCCTGGCATTCCGCAGCCCTGGGCCTCGGCTCCTCTCCTTAGGGGGCCACAAGTGGGGAGCACAAGTGAGCCGAGAGCAGCACCCCCACCCCGCCCCGGCCGGCAGAGCCGCTCGTGCCCGCCTTCAGCCTTACCGTGCTGCGGAGATCTGGCGGCGGCGGGGGCAGTGCCCGAGGGGCGGGCGGCAGCGGGAGCGGGCAGCCTGGCCTCGGGCGCCCGCCGAGTGACCCGGCCCGGCTCGCAGATCACCCCCCTGGCGAGTGGCCGGTGCCCCTGCGGGGCGCCCCCCCCCCCGCCCGCCCCGCCGCCGGGCGCTTCAGCTCGCGGCCAAGTTCATGCCGGCGGCGGCGCTGCAGTGGCGGCCTCAATCTGCTCGCTCCATTCCCACCACCGGCTCCGCGCCGCGCGCCCGGAAGGTGGAGTTTCGGGGGTTTAAGTTACTGATAGGCATTTCTCACTGCTGTGTCACTCGGGGAGGAGGAGACACGCACGCCGCACACTCACACACCCTCACACTCACGGCGACGAGCGGCTGCAGCCTTAAAGGGGAAGCCGCGCCGCCCGGCCCGCGACCCCGCCGGCCCGCGGCCCCCCGAAACGCCGAGTGGCGTCGCCGCCGCCGGGCTCGCCGAAACGGGGCCGCCGCCCTCGGGGGCCTTAGCACGCCGTTCCTCGCCCGGTCGCGGAGGGAACGCGGCCGTGGGTGGGCTGCCGAGGGGTCGCCTCGCTTCGTCGGTGGGCTCGAGTGGGGGGGGGGGCGGGGAGTCCCGGGAAGGGGCGGCGAGGCGGCCGGAGACGCGGGTGCACTTACCTCGGTCGTTCGGGCGCCCGGTCCCAGACGGTCGGCGTCCTCCGCGGCAGGTGGCTCGCTTAGACGGTGCGCTGCGGGAACAGGCGACAACCGCGTCAGTGCCCACCCCCCTCCGGGGGTCTCGAGTGGCTGGAACTCGGCCGAGGGCCGCAGACGGAGCTCGGTCCGGGCCGTTGGGGGGGGGAGGGGGGTTCCGCGGCGCTCGGGCAAGCCCCACGCGCAGGTAGACTTCCCGCGTCTGGGCAGGAGCGCACCCCGGAGCCACGGAGAGCAGGAGGACCAGCACTCAGCAAGGGTGACCCGGCGAGTGCGCAACGCCAGACACCGACGCTCGGGGTGGGGAGGCCGGAGGCCGGCGCCACCCGCACTCACCTCGTGCAAACGACGGAGCGTCTGCGCCACAGAGAGAAGCGGGTTGGGGCGAGGGCGGGGGTCCGCCAGCGCAGGGATGCGAAGGCGAGAGCCAGGGAGCGCCCGGCCAACCGTTACGGGACTCGAAAGCGGGGTGCCGAGCTCCCGAGCCTCCGCGCCTCCGCGCCCCGGCAACACGCCCCCCTCCCGGCTTCGCTCCGGAGCCCACCCAAGAGCGCGCGGGTTTCCCACCCTCCCCGCCACGGTGCTCACCTTCGGGGCGCGGCGAGGGGGGAGGGGAGCGCCTGTCCCGCTGCAGAGGCGTCTGCTCGCAGACTGGCTCTGCCCAGGACAGACACGCGACCTGATGTAACAACCGTCGGAGTCGTGCGCCCAGGTGGCGGCAGCAGCAAGGCCCCGCCCCCTCTCGTCTAGCTTCCCCTCCCCCCACGCCCGCCCCTCCCACTCCCCTTCCCGAGGGCCTGCGGCCCCTGGCGGTGCGGTTGGCCGGGTGGCCTTGGCTGCCGGCCAAGGCGCCCCCCCCACACCCCCGCGACTCCGGTTAACCCTCCCGGCCCTCCTCAGCACCGGCCCCGGTCCCCGTCCCCCCCCGTTCCCCCCGGCCTCCGAAGCCTTACCCAAACGGGGCGGCTCTGGCGGTCTCTGTCCGGGGTAATCCTGGGGCAGACACCTGCGGCTTCAGCAGGAACCTGGGTTCCTGGGAGCCCCGCTGAGCGCGCCGTCTGCCCTCTGACCTGGCGCCGCGGCCGGCGGCTCCCCTCCCCCCACCCCTAGCGGTGGGCGCCGGCGGAAGGATTCCCGCCCGTCGGAGCCCGCTTCCTTAACCTGGAGGTACCGGGAGGCGGTGGCCGCGGCGGAGCTCGGTGCGCGGAGGCTGCGTCCGATCCGACAGCAGCCTCGCCCGCCACCGCCCGAGAGTCGGCTCTGTCGCTCCCCCCCCCTCCCCGCCCCCCCTCCCCCGGCTCCTTCCCGCACCTCCGAGGAGCGACCTGTCACCCGCACATCTGGTGGCACTTGGCCCGGCGCGGGGCCAGCCAGAAAGGGGTGGGTTCGCCGCCCACCCGGCCCCTCCTTCCCTCCACGCCCACGCGCCCTGCCCGCGAACAGCGCGCGGGCCCCGGCGGGGAATCGGCGGGTCCTTTCGTGGGCTGCGTAGGTGACGCAGAGCCGCGCGCTAGCCACCCGGCGGGTCCCCCAGGTTCCCTAGCGGCGGGCCCCACCGCAGGCGCAAGTGGTGGCTTCCTGCCCGGCCGGGGGGCACGGCCGTGCACGCGGTGGCGACAGTAAGGGAAGGATTCCACCTGGGCGCTCGCGAAACGGCTGGCAGCCGCCACAGGGGCTCGCACGGGGGACAGTTCTTACCTTCTTCCCGACGAAGCGGGCGGCGCTGGGTGCCTGACCCGGCTCTGGCTCGTACAAGACGGGGGGGGGGGGTGGAGTGGGGGCGAGCGGGTGGGGGTGCGTGAGCGCCGCTCCCCCCAACTCCACGGAGAGAACCGACTGTCACGGGAAGGAATAGGATTCAACGAAGCCCGTCCGGGGACGCCCTGTTCCTTGAGCCTCTCCCAGTGTTTTCTGAACGGTTCTCTCCAAGTGCGTGGTCATGGTCACGGGGGTGGAAGATGAGGTTCCCAGACACCCCCGCTCCCCTCTAGTCCCCCCCCCCGCTATTGCAGTGTGTGTGTGTGTGTGTGTGTGTGTGTGTGTAGGGGGAGGGTGCCTTTCCCAGCCCCCATCCCAGTGTCCCGCTGCCCCGCCAGAATAGAACTGAGCCCAGACAGAACTGAGCTCTGGATCACCTGGAAAACACTTCTTCCAGAAACTTCCACCTCACCCTCCCGGGAGGCTCTGATCTGACCCCCTGCATTCCAGGCTCACTGGTTCTCAGACCCTGTGCAAAGCCTCCCCCCCCATGGTACTTTCCCAGAGACCCACCAGCTCTCTCTCTCTCTCTCTCTCTCTCTCTCTCTCTCTCTCTCTCCTTTTCTTCCACTCCTCCCTCCCCCATTTATTTTTCAATTTTATTTTAGCAACCTTGATTAGCAATCTGACCATTCTCACAGCGGTAGGATTTTAGATATGCAATATTCAGACCCCAGACGCTTGACCGCTTGACCACAGTGCCCCGTTTTCCTTCACCATTGTCTCTGGGGCCCCTCTCAGTTCCCCCTCCCCATGCCCATCCCACTTCCAAAGTCTCCCTGCCCTGGTAAGCGAAATTCTGTAGAGCAGTTCGGAGTCTGTTGCTTTTGACCATTTATTGTTTTTCTATGTGGGTTTTCAAGTCCCACTCGGCGGGGATAGCCCTCTCTCTCTTTCTCTCTCTTTTTGGCTGACTTCACTCGCCATGCTGCTCTCTTAACTCCCTCCGTGCAGGGGAAAATTACATGATTTTTCTCTTTTATATAGCTAGGTAGTATTCCACTGTATATTGTGCACATTTACCACCGTTTATCCACTCATTTGTTTGGGAAGACTTGGGAACACAAATGTCACCTGGCCACCCAGGGTCACTTTCCAGAGTCCCTCATCCCTCTCAGCCACCTCGTATCCCCTCTCTACTTTGTTTTCGCTTTGCCCTCCCCTCCACACTAGCCAGCCTTCATAGGTGAACATCCGCAGAGGGACGCAATGATGGGATGCCTGCCTGTGCTTTGCACAGAGCATCTGCAGGTTATCCATGAGCCTTGGTTTACCTTCTAGAGATGGCTGGGTCCACGTGGGGAGGGAGCCCAGAGCTGCCATTACATCTGAAGGAGGTTCCTGAGACCTGGACAAAGGTGAGCATGGCTTGGGGTCTGGCAGAGAGCTTTGTCAAGAGCACTGTGGCAGGCCAGAACAAAGGTACAGCCCGTAGGGGGCCTGCCTTGCACGTGGCCAACGAGGGTTCAATCCCTGGCATTCCATAGGGTTCCCCCAGCCTGCCAGCCAGGAGTAAATCCTGAGCACGGCTGGTTGTGGCTCAAAGACTAAAACAAACAACAACAACAAAAGAACTCCATGTCCCCAATGGGCACAGTAGGGGACGGCATACAGTGAAAGGAGAAGAAGGGGAAGTGATAGGCAGGGTACCCTTTCAGTAACAGCCTTGCAAACCTCAGTGCCTGGAAGGAAAAGAAGAGACAAGACTAGTGTCTGCCATAGAGACAGGCTCTGGGGGCGGGCCAGGGAGGGACAGGACAGAAACTGGGAACATTGGTGGTGGCGGCTGGTGTTGGAACCGTGTATGACTGAAACCCAGTCATGAACAACTTTGGAACTGTGTTGTTTGATTCAATAATGATTTATCTAATGCAAATGGTTCTTTGTTCACAGAAGAGGCTCTAGGTGCTGGTCAGCTCCGGTCCTGCAAGGCTGGTGGAGAAAGGGCGAGAAGAGATGAGAGATCAAGGCGATGTGGGAGTTTTCTTGCCTCGGAGTGGATCGTCGCCGAGACGTGGGTCACTCCCAAGTCGGAGTCAAGTCTTGGGCAAGAAGAATCTCTCTGTCCTGAGTGCTTTGCCTGCAGACCCCCGTGTCCCATGGAAGGGAGGGCAAGGCTGAGCCCATTTTCCGGATAAGGGCACTGGAAGCTCAGAGAGGCTAAGGGGAGGCAGAGGTGGAAGCCGTTGGACCTCCAGGGGTGCTGCTTTTGTCTGCCACTAGTGCTTAGCAAGACAAGTCCTGGTGAGGAAAAGAAACCCACAGGGACCGGAGGCTGGTCCGCACTGCTCGTGGGAATCTCCTACCCCATGGCTGAAATCCTGCCAGGAATGGGTGGGACTGGGCTGTGGGGCTCCTGGGAACCCATGCCAGGACGTGTGTGAGCCCTGAGTGCCTTTGCGTCGAAGAGCAGCATCCTTCCATCATCCCTGGATCCATGCACAGTTCCCAAGGTCCATGTGGTCACCATGGGGGTGAAACTTGGCAGCCCGGGAACTGTGTGTGCAATGTGCCTGCGGGCCCCGGAGCACTGGCCTGCTGGCTGCAAAGGAGAAACACGTCCAGTGATTGCATGCCTTCTTAGCCCCTGGCTCCAAAGATTTCCATGGTTCCCTATTGCTGTGGCTCAAACTCCCAAACCTCCTTTTCCAGATTCATTTCCTCGTT